GTCAAACCAATAAAGACCGATCACATTTTGAAAAATATATTACTTAATAGAATAAATAGCAACATAATCTCTTAAATTATCATTCACTACTTGTTTATTCTTAAATTTATTTTTGGTTATGAGGTATTCAGGTTAAACTTTTAAAACTTATTTCACGTTAGTCAGTTTTTCTCGTGTCTTATAAAATTAAAATATTATTATTTTAATAAATAATTAGCTGTTTTGAAATTATTTATGGACCTATAGCACTCAATCGCGTCCAAGTTAGGTGTGACCATTTACGCCTAAGTTAGGCGTGACTCACGAAGCATTCACGCCAAATTTAGGCATAACTTGTCTGATATTGACATGCGGCACAAAAAGTTAACAGTTTAATCGTAAAATTTTGGAATGTTATAACTTTTGACTCAGGTGTCCAAATTAGGTAATGTGCTTTTTGATTCCACATAACTTTTCGATATATACACAATTACACCTCATTTAGCATATTTTATCTCTCACAAACAGTTTGAATTTTGCAACAAAGGTACTATAATAGTGTTTAAACGCAGAAGCATCTGAGTTTTTTCTGAATAAACACCTAACACAGTCTTCTGCCTACTAGAACCTCCCTATTTATATCCTATGGGTTGTATACTTATCACTAGAGGTGGTAAAGCAGGGACACCCTGCCAAAAACTGAGTCAGCCCGCCCAACACCACTTTTGAAATTGTGCTAAAAACCCGGCCTGCCCGCCCCTTTTAACGGGCGAGTCGGGTTGGCCTGCTGAGCCGAGCCTGTTTTGACGGCTCTACTTATCACTGTGAGTTGAGACTTTATCTTTTAAGTCGTGGTCTGAAATTAAAGATGGCACTAAAGTGGATTAGTTCATCTATAAATAAGGATACTTAACAAAGACAAAGAACACACACACACACACACACTCATTTTGTCTGTGAGCTCCTATGTCTCTTCAATAAATGAGGTGGAGCTTGCAAGATAGAACCAGGTCATTCTTTATGCACTACCTATGAAACAAAGTTAGATGTTTGCTTTTTGTACCATGTTTTACAATTTCCAGATTAAAAAAAAAAAGACTGAGTTTGGTGTTAGTTTGAAAAGAACTCAGAGGTTTTTGGGTTTAAACGCTCTTATAATACTATTGTTGCAAATTCGAACTGTGTTTGTGAGAGATAAAATATCTCAAATGAGGTGTCATTACATAGATCTTGAAAAGATATGTGGAATAAATTTTTTTTACTTAATTTGGATACCTGAGTCAAAAGTTATGGCTTTCTAAAAATTTTCGGTTCATAAGTTGATTTTTTTGTGTCACGTGTTAATACGAGACGAGTCGCCTAAATTAGATGTGAATGCCTCGTAAGTCACGCCTAAGTTAGGCGTGACCATTCACATCCAATTTGAGCGTGAATGAATGCTATAGATCCGTAAATAGTTTCAAAACAGCTATATATTCGTAATTACTTATTAAAAAAATAATATTTTAATTTTTTTTGCACACACACATATATATATATATATGTATATGTATATGTGCATACACACACACATATATATATATATATTCATACATACATACATATACGTATATGTATATACATATATATGTACATGTATATATATATAGAGGTAGGATCTTTTGATACTGGTGTTAAATTTTAAATTTGACACCTCATCTGAGAGCCGTTAGATCAAAAAAGATCAACGACTCTGATTTATAAGCATGTGACACCGTTGATCTTTTTTGATCTAACGGTTCTCAGATAAGATGTCAAATTTAAATTTTGACACTGATGTCAAAAGATCCTACCTCATATATATATATATATATAGAAAATAATTGTTTTTTTTCAAAAACAGTGCGAGAGAACCACACTCTTTACGTACAGGTACAACAATGACAGGTGTATAGTTAGGGTTCTCCACATTTAATATTTTGATCTTTGTATGATTATGATTCTTTACATTTAAGGCTTTCATGTATATATATGGCAAGTATTTGACTGTTGCACATATAGCAGTTGTAGAAATTTAAACCCCATATATATATATATATAGAGGTAGGAACCTTTGACACCGGTGTCAAATTTGAATTTTGACACCTCATCTAGGAGCCATTTGATAAAAAAAGATCAATTGTGTCACATGCTTACAAATCAGAGTCGTTGATCTTTTTTGATCTATTGGCTTCTAGATGAGGTGTCAAGATTCAAATTTGACAGTGGTGTCAAAGGATCTTATCTCATATATATATATATATATAGGGTTAGGATCCTTTAACACCAGTGTCAAATTTGAAATTTGACACCTCATCTGAGAGTCGTTAGATCAAAAAAGATCAATGATGTCACATGTTTACAAATCAGAGTCGTTGATCTTTTTTGATCTGACGGCTCTCAGATGAGGTGTCAAAGGATCCTATCTCATATATATATAATTTTTTTTTCTTTGGCGTTGAAGTCAAATTTGCATTTTTTTTTTCTCACAAAAATAAAAGTCAACGAAAATTGCACGAGAAACGTGTTAGTTTGTAATTGATGGTTATGAATTTGATTTAATGAGTCAAGTCTTCAAGCATAAGACCATTGTTCTATTCAGAGAGAATGCATAGTTCCGTCGAATAGCAATTGAGCTCAGAAATTGATGTAGTGAGAGAATCTATGCCAAGTTTGAATTTGGGTACAAGACAAATTCTTTTTGTTCACACAGCAATTGGGCGTTAGGCTATTTCCGTTAAGTGACTCTCTCGAATTTTGTCCAATTGCAAAGATCCAATTTGGACCAATTACTCAACATCATGTCCGGAGGTGACTTTAGACTTTAGAAAACTGATGATCAAGTTGAGTGAAAATTCCAGGTAAGAGAAAAGAAAGTTTCAGGATGTATTTAAATTAGTTTATTTTTAAAGAATAGATTTTTTAACAAATTCTAAAAAACTTAAGAAAAAAGCGTTTATTTAAAAAAAAAATTAATAACCAAATATGCTATTAATAATTAGAAGGTAAAAGTAAAACGTCCACTGAATGTTTTTAGCAAATCTTTTTTTTTTTTACCTGTTTGTGGGAAAAAGTTATTTATTCCTTCAGTCTATGTCACTGGTACTTTCCTGAAATCCATGATATGAGTGTAAAGTGTAAACAATCAACAAGGAAATGAACAAATCCACATGGTTACAGTTACATGTACAATGAACGCCATGTCAGGAAAAAGGTTCTAGCAGCAAAATGACTTGGCAATCACAATCACAAACCTTGAAAAGCCTCTATATTTGCTTTGCTCAGATTTTTATTTTATTTTTGACTTTTTCTATTTTCCTTACCACTATATTCTCAAGTCTTTTTTAATAAATATATCCTAAAGTTATTTGCTTTTCTTTTTGTTGGATGGTTCTTATAGGATTTTATGATCACGACTTATTCCAAAGCGCCAGACATAAACAGCTTTCATTATGATGATTATCTAAGTTCCCTTTTACGTTGGGTTCATTGATTGAAAGCATGTTTCAGGCCCCTGATATTTCTTTAATATTGTTAAAAGGTCAAAATTATAAAAAAAAATTATTAAGAAATTTACAACTGGACTATAAAAATCAATAAAATTATTATCAGTAACTGGAAATGTGTTGATTTAACAAACGCGTTGATTTTTTTATTTTATTTTTGTATCCTACAAACGTGTTGATTTAATCACAAAGATTATTATTACGTGAAATGTGGAAAGCGCGATAAACCAAAAAGGACTATATTTGAAGTTTATATTCAAATAGAGTAAGTTTATTGCGTATATGGCGATGTTCTCTATTTTAAGAATTCAAATTATTGATTAATGAAGTTTACTTTGGAAGTTGCTTGGATGCAACATTGAAGTAACCGGAATTTTCTATTTAATTTTGCAATTTGGAGTAAATTAGATTTAAAGGAGAGAGAGAGAAGTTTGAAGGAGTTTCTAATTTACGCTTATGATTTTCCTCTTTTAGAATTTTGACAATCTTTCATTTCCTCCTATGAATTTTTAAATTAAATTCGGGCTATACTTTAGGTTGATATCAAATAACTCAATACCACATGACATTTTAAAACATGATTGTTTAATTAATGATAAATTATAAAATTTATTAACTTAAATTAATGACTTTTGTATAATATAACAATATTTTTGTATTAATATAATTCATTTCAATACATATTTAAAAGTCCTTTAATTTCAATTATTCATTTTTAAAATTTTATAATTTAGCTATATATAATATTTAATTATATATTTTATCTATTTCAATTTCAACTGTACCATTAGTGGCTTGAATAAGTAAAGTCTACATTCTAAAAAAGTAAAGTCCACCAAATTAAACTCAGTCCAAGCCGAGTCATGATCACCTCTTATATTAGGCTCCATACATAAATATCAACTTGTACATCTTCATGGTAATTTACTACTTATACTTTTCTAATCCACAGCGACTAGTTCAAAAAACGGATATATTGAATAACAAAAAAACTCCAAGGCTGAGAAAAAAATCAACACGCTGAATCAAAATAAAAATGATATATATATTTTTATTATGATGTCGATTTATCGATTATTCGATTAATTAAATTTTAGTTCAATAAGATTATATAAGATAACAAAATTTTCCCTACTAAATTTTTAATAATTAACACAATCACATACCTATAATTCGAATTTAAAATTAGTGATTAAGCTTAAATAAGCTCATGGCATTGGCATGCCACTTAATCCAAATTCAACGATATTTTATAGAGATCTTTTTGTCAACACGCCGCGCTACCAACTTAGTTTGAATAGACCGAAGCAATAATATAAATAGAGAATATAGTTCAACAGAGCAGAATCATTAATTAATGGCAATCCCAAAGTTTTCTCTTTGTTAGACCAAAGAACTCTACACACATCAATCACCAAAGTTAAAATTCCTAAACCATCTCTTTGTTAGCACTTGAACTCTCTCTCAGGACTAGACATCCTTGACTCACTTATAGGCATGTTTGATCTTCAATTAAGCTTAAGGGCTGTGCCAACATTGTTGGTTCTGTGTTTCTTCCTCATTTTGGGGAATTTCCACAAAGCTGAGGCCAGAGTTAGACATTACAAATGGGAGGTTAAGTATGAGTATAAGTCCCCTGATTGCTTTAAGAAGGTGGTTATCACCATTAATGGCATGACTCCAGGACCTACCATTCAAGCAGAGGAGGGTGATACTGTCATTGTAGAAGTTAACAACAATTTGCTGACAGAAAACCTTGCCATCCATTGGCATGGGATTAGACAGGTATTATAAGTATTAAATAAGATGGATTTTCAAGTACTGCATTGACTTTTTTTTTTTTTTTTTTTTGGGACTTATTGATTAATGACATCTATGGTTTGTATGTGGCAGATTGGAACTCCTTGGTTTGATGGAACAGAAGGGGTAACTCAATGTCCTATACTGCCTGGAGACCCCTTTAAGTATCAGTTTGTTGTTGACAGGGTAAGTGGTTAAAATTGGAGCTGTGACATTAAGCAATATGAATAACTATGTGGATTCCTTTCTAACAATTTAGTATAAGATAATATATGTAATTTATTCATCATCATCGATCATGACATAAAAACTTTTATATCTAATTTGTTTTGCATCTTTAACATCACAGCCTGGTACATATCTTTACCATGCTCACTATGGAATGCAAAGGGCTGCGGGATTATATGGATTAATTCGAGTGGCATCCCGTGACCCTGAGCCCTTTACTTATGACTATGATCGAAGCATTATTCTGAATGATTGGTACCACCAGAGCACATATGAACAAGCTGCTGGATTGTCTTCAATTCCTTTTCAATGGGTTGGGGAACCTCAGGTAAATGAATCTACTGATCAAATTCTACCATGTTTTTTTTTTCTTTTTCTTTCTTTCTTTGTTCTATTGTCTAACTAATGGTTTTACTCTTTCTCAATATTTGGTTCCCCCAGTCACTTTTGATTCATGGAAAAGGAAGATTCAACTGCTCTACATCTCCAACCTTAAGCACTAGTATTTGTAACACATCAAACCCTGAATGCTCTCCCCTTGTACGAACTGTGATCCCAGGAAAAACATACCGCTTCAGAATTGGTAGCTTGACTGCTTTATCAGCACTCAGTTTCCAAATAGAGGTAATATTACATTCTCAGTTGTCAAATTGTGATCATCTTATTCTTTTGCTTACATAATCTTGTACATAAACAACAGTTTCTGACCAATTTCTAATGATGCAGGGTCATAATATGACTGTGGTTGAAGCAGATGGTCATTATGTTGAGCCTTTTGTGGTTCAGAATCTCTTCATATACTCTGGTGAGACATACTCAGTTCTTGTGAAAGCTGATCAAGATCCATCGAGGAACTACTGGATGACCTCAAATGTGGTAAGCAGAAACAGAACCACCCCACCTGGCTTGGCCATTTTCAACTACTACCCCAACCATCCACGGCGGTCACCACCAACGGCTCCACCTACTCCACCTGCTTGGGATGATGTTGAGCCAAGGCTAGCTCAAAGCCTTGCCATCAAGGCTCGCCAAGGTTACATAACAAAACCTCCGACAACCTCGGACAGAGTTATAGTATTCCTCAACACACAGAATAAAATAAATGGTTATTTCCATTGGTCGGTGAACAATGTCTCTTTCTCCCTCCCTCACACCCCTTATCTTGTTGCCCTCAAAGAGAACATAACCGATGCATTCGACCAAACCCCTCCACCTGAAGGCTATGATTCTCTTCATTATGACATTTTCAGTGTGGCCAACAACACAAATGCCACTTCTGGCAATGGCATTTATAGGCTGAAGTTCAACACAACGGTGGATGTTATACTTCAAAATGCCAACACCATGAACAAAAACAACAGCGAGACACATCCATGGCATCTTCATGGGCACGATTTTTGGGTTCTTGGGTATGGAAAGGGGAAGTTTGACATGAAGAATGACACAAAAAATTATAATTTGGAGAACCCAATAAGGAAAAATACGGTGCCATTGCATACATATGGATGGACTGCATTGAGGTTTAGGTCGGATAATCCAGGTGTGTGGGCTTTCCATTGCCATATAGACCCTCACTTGTATATGGGCATGGGAGTTGTTTTTGAAGAAGGAATTGAAAGGGTTGGGAAGCTCCCTCCATCCATCATGGGTTGTGGTAAAAGCAAAGGTTCTTACAGGCCCTAACTTTAACATTCAATTTCAATTTCTTTGTAAAAAAAAAAAATGTTCACGACATTCGAATTTAGCGTTGCATATGTATCAGTTTAATTCAATTCAATTCTGTTTGCTTTAAAGTATTGAAAATTTCAATCATCTGTCCAGAAGAATCATCAAGAAAAGTCTTTTTTTTTTTCTTACTAAAAAAATTGTTACTGTTGTAGAAATTGTTCCTTTGTTAGTGTAGGTTGTAAATTGTAAATCGTAATTGTATTTGTACTCGTTCCTTTTAACACTTTCTTGTTATAAGCGGTAATATTGAGAAATTACTATATTTATTTTTAAAATTCCCTTGCAACCCATTTAATAATAAGCAAATGTTGAAATTAATTTTTTTCTTATATTGGAGAAAACTAAAATTATTCCCTCTATGGCCTCCGCCGGCAATTATCAATTATCACTACCAACTTGCACAGTGCATCATATATAACGTATCTTTGACCGAGAAGCTAATTCGTTGCGATCTTATCTTCAATCTCATTTTTAATATCACTTATTGTAGTTTCTCGCTTAAATATGATCTCCACTAGTCCAGACTCCACACAACTGACACAAAGTTACGTCACAAAGACACGCTTCTCATCTTCAAACATAGTGACATTGACCAAGTGCCACACTTTTCAATATTATTGACCGAAATGTCATTATAGGAGTAAATTTTTTCTAAAGTGTCACATTACCGAAGTCATTGGTTACATTCCGGTCGATAATATTAGAAAGTTTGTCACTTGGTTCAATGTCCCTCAAGCATAATAGTCAACTAATTAAAAAAAATCAGAAAAATGTAATGGATCCACATATGTTGGATTACAGGTGGTTTACAACTTGAATCATCTAATACCCCCAAGGAAAGAAAAAAGAGAGTGAAGGATCGTGTTTGCACTGACTACGGCCTAATTAATAGATAAGATACTAGATAACCAGTTCACATAATCCATATCATATTTTTAACCCGGTACTATTATTTTCACACGTGTAAAAAGGTAAAGAATTTCTCCGGTTAATAGAGTTAAGTTATTTCTGGTGAGTCCAAAATAACATTGTTTTGTGACGGAAATTAAGGTGTTTTGGTAATTCTAATAAATTGCAGGATTATATATTTATATTGTCTTTATCATTATAGTTTTTTTAATCTTATAACTTAATAAATAACGTTGTTTTGAGTTCACTGGAGATAAAGATATCTCCAATGACCGGAGAAACACTTTTCTCATGTAAAATTTAATTATTTTACATTTTACATAATTTTTATTTTTACAAATTTTAAAAAAAAACTCATTATATGTGAAGCCCTGTAAGACTGTAAATTTGCGTTTAAAAAATAGTATTAAAGATAATGTGATCAAAATTGAACAACTCTCCCTGCAGGCAACGGATGAGTGGATGCTATATAATGCATAATTTACCCAAAAAGGGAAAAAATTAATGAAAGGAACTTTTCCAGGAGTGACGCCTCTGGCCAGGCAATTGACAAATTGAAAGAAATTCCCGGCGGAGAAAGAAAAGCAGAGCAATGATAATACATCTATTAGTATTAGTTATTGCAAGGCTAGCGAAAGACGATTTTATCCTTCCATTCATTTGAGCAATACCCCTCGTTAGTCGTAAAATTTAATGGGAATATCTTCAATTCGGCTATTTAATATACTTTAATAATAATACTAGCAAGATATTCTTTAATACATTCTTTATAAAACGTTCTTTTATTATTAGATGAATTTCATCGTCTAATTAAATAAAAAAAGAGTTTAGATTATTTAGTGTTACTCACATCAATTTCACAACAGAATGTTTGGCCAGTTGAGTTTACCAAAGGCATCTAAGGACTAATGACATGATTAAATATCATTCTTGCTAGTAGCAACTTAATTACAAGCCAAGAAGCACTGCAATAAGAGCAAAAGAAAGAACTACTAGAGGGAAAACCTGATAGATAATACCAATAAAGAATCGCTGAATATTCATGATATATAGTCAAGAAAGCAAAGATAATCTGGAAACAAGCCAAGAAATCTGTGAAGTTTGAATCAACAAAGTTTTATTAAGCGATAACAGTATATTGGATTATATGTTGCACGTTCTCAAACTACAGAACACTCAGGTTTCATGCTGAACGCACAAACGGAAAAGAACTAAGCAAAGTAGATGGATAACAGAGGGAACTAACTACGGATGTCAGAAAGATTCACTACATGCAGTAGAGAAAGAAGTACACCATCTTCATCAGGATGGATCACATTCACAGGCCATGGTGGTCTTCGATATCCACCATTGGCTTGACATTAGGCATCGGAGGGACACCACCACAATTTCCACGTCCATCAAGAGCAGAACAGGTCCCTTCTGTCCTCTGACTCTGAGCTACCGAATCTGGTGGTATATTAGCCTCTCCTTCCGATGCTCCTTCACCCCCTAAGATACTGTCATAAGCAGCGGCCACAGGATTAATATGCGGAAATGGCAAGTACACACTGTGCACCATGATCTTGACGTTGCGAATGACGTCCGACACCTTAACCCTCACATAGTTAATCCTCATCGGCGCCAAGGTCACTCCTCCACCGGAGGTTGTGATGAGCAGCGGTTGGCCTCGTTCCAATGTCGGCAGAGCAGTCCCCACCGGAAGCTTCTCCAGATCCGCAATCGACAAGTAATGGTTCGGCACAATATGGAACCTGACATTGCTGATATACGAATGAGAACCGGAGAAGATAGAAAGGTCGTCGACGGCGAACACGGTCATGTTGTTGAGAGTCACGAGCTCAGGGTACTTCACCTTCAAGGCAAGGGCTAGGATGCTGAAGCCGTTGTTACGGAGCCTGAGCATGGCATCTCTGAGCATTAGGCGCATTATAGCTGGCTGCACCGAAGCGGCGGGAGTGTGGAGATGGTGACTGGAACGTTGATCTGGATGGTACGGGAAGGAGAGCGAGGTCATCCTCTCCACGTCACAAGAAAACGGAGATAGCGGAGTGACGAAACCTTGAAGGCCATGAACCACAACCATGCCGTTGTTGAAGAGATCAGGTTGCGTGATCTCCACGCCTCCGATGAAGACCTTCGCAGCTGCGGCGGTGGTGTTCGGATGGACCGAATCGGAGGTGATGGTGATGCAACGGCCAGGACTCAAGGTCTCGATCTTGGTGCCAAAAGCAAGTCTCCGCAGATAATCGATGGTGAAGAGACCTGGAACAATGTGCTCGCGGAGGAGGTTGGGGACGGAGCAAGAGAAGCAGGTACGGAGGGAGGAGTCGGAGGGAGCAAAGATAGTGGAAGGACCGGTCCAGGCAGAGGAAGTGGTGGATGCAGTATCGGAGAGCGACGGAGCCGCCGTCGCCAGCTCGTGGAAACCGAGATGAGACAAGATCGGAGGGAGGAGTGCGGTGTGAGAGAAGAACGAGTGTTCTTGGAGATCTTGTGGAGTTGGAGTTGGAGGTGGAGTTAAGGGCGTTGAAGGTGGAGTTAAGGGCGTTGAAGGAGTGAAGGGAGCTTCGAGTCCTTCAGTGGCGGTAACCTTGGGGCCGCCGAGCATGGCGGCAACGGAGACGGCGAACAGCAGTGCGAATCGCAACGAGAATGAAGAGGAGTTGTCCATGGCTGAGAGAGAGAGAGAGAGAAGAAGTGAGTGAATGCCAACGGAAAATGAAGCAAGTAAGGAGGTGCAAAGATATTTATAATATATAAACTTGCGCGCGCGGGAGTGAGGGAGGGAACGGTTATGAGAAGGTGGTTAGAGGAATCTTGGAAGCGTGCTTGTCAGTTACATGGTTGTTAGAGGTTAGAACGTTCTTGAATCTTTTTGATTTGGATTCAGTTATGGGGTTAGCGTTATTCATCACTCCAATTCCAATATTACCCTTATGAAGAAATTTTAGACTAATAGAAATATTTTAGATTTTTTTTTAAGTCTATTAATAAAAATCTATCGTTGGCTGTGGGTGGACCCGGGTCCGGGTTTGATATCCTCTTGAGAGCCATACGAAGACTCTGTATACAGATAGGTGGAGCTGAGAAAAGAAGATGGCACGTTCACTCTCACTCTCACTCTCACTCTCCTACGGTGTAGGCGTTGTTCCTTCTTGTCTTTGGAAACCGAAGGGCATGAGTTGCAAAGCGCCTAATAAGGTATCGTGTTCAGCACATGCACATAGTGATAAGAATCCATTTGTTGGAATTGGTATTGGGGTTGTTGCGGCTTCGGTGATGGGTTTAACGCCGTTGGATGCGGATGCCACGAGAATCGAATACTACGCTACTGTGGGAGAGCCTTTGTGTGAGCTGAACTATGCTAAGTCTGGCCTCGGTTACTGCGATATTGTTGAGGGCGTCGGTGACGAAGCTCCTCTCGGTGAGCTTATCAATGTCAGTTACTCTGTTTTTTATATCCAAACATTTTAGATTCCTTTACTGTTCCTGTGTGTGAATGAATGTTATATACGTTACAGGTTCACTATACTGCAAGATTCGCTGATGGGACAGTCTTTGATAGCAGCTATAAACGTGCTAGACCTCTCACCATGCGCATTGGCGCTGGCAAGGTCAACAAGTTTTCTTCACTATTAAGATATTTATATATATATTTTACACAAAAATCATTTTGTAACGTACTTTTGTTAAGTTGGCACGCACTTATAAGAGTATATGAAGTCCAGGTAATCAAGGGCCTGGATCAGGGGATTTTAGGAGGTGAAGGAGTGCCACCGATGCGGATAGGTATGGAATTTAATTGAAGAGTTTGAGTTTTTTTTGGTATATGTCACTTGCCTGTCCCTTTCAGAACTTTATAACCTACCATATTTATGTAGGTGGGAAACGCAAATTGAGGATTCCTCCACTGTTAGCATATGGCCCTGAACCTGCGGGGTGCTTCTCAGGTTATGTTCCATCGTTAATTGCTGTAGTATCTGATTTAGTCATTGTTAAGGGAGGAGGAAATTAGAGGCATGCAGTGAAATTCATGTGTGCTGAGCTAGAATTAATATAGGTAAAAAATAATAATTACAAAGATACTAGACATTAAATATACAGGATAATGACTAATGACGATATAGGTGAAAAATACGTGAAGAATAATTATTACAAAGAATACTATAAATTCCGGATTTGGTTAGCTTTTACAATGAATCTAGACATTACTAATACAATGATATGAGATACTATTTACTTTACTAACAGTCATAAACATGGAAAAACCCATTTTTACCAGATCTGCAACACATGAAAAGTAGTAGAGTGGAGAGAAGGGAGAAATCATTATTCATTGGTTAATTACTTACGCATTTAGTCACATGTAATCCCTCTAGTATATCCTCTCCTCATACTGTCCGAGTGTCCGACATTTCTTTTCTTTCTTTTTTTTAAGAAAATTAAGACCGTGGATTTGATTTTCTAAAATCCAGGTCTACTTGTTTCAGGAAAAGATTTTTATTGTTTTTATCACAGGTGACATGCAATTTCTTGTTAATTAGTTCGGTTTTGGAAAAAGCTACAGCAGATATTGAGTTGTATGATTTATTATCAGAAGATGCAGCAAGTCATTAAATTTGTTAGATTTTGACATGTTTGTCTCTGATTCAATAGGTGACTGCAACATACCCGGCAATGCTACTCTTTTATATGATATTAATTTTATTGGTATTTATTCGGGCAACCGAAAGTGAAGCAAGTCAAAACTGATCAGATACATATCTGCATATGAACCACACATGAATCAAGTGAGTTTCCTGATCTCCTGAAAATATTATATCCTTAAGAGTATATAGGTGAAAACATGAAATGGTAGAGATTGTTGTGTCCAGCTCACTTTCTGCATGCTTGGCACCTAAACTTGCTGGTTTTCTTTCCACATCATCAAAATAGTAAGCATCAGCTTCCAATCTTGGCCATTTAACCAGGAAGCTTTTATGCATTTGTAGGTGTATGCAGCGCCTGCATGATAAAACATTGATCACCTGCTTCAATGGTTTGACAAGTTTGGTATTAATTACATCTAATAAGCAATGTTAAAATTTTCTGACACAAACGATCGTAGTTAAAGCATAATCTGCTTAAATATTTTGACTCTTGTCTGAAAACATAGGGTACAATACCATGTTGTTTAGCGACTGAGTGATTTTTAAGATTAATATGAGGTTTTGTTGGTTGTCTAATCGATCTTGTAGCAAGTAATGACAAGTAGAAGTAGACCAGCATATTTGCAAGTTAATATATCTTCCTATAGTATAAGGAAAAAAAACCTTTAAAACTATAAATGCTAATGGTGACACTGATGCTGTATTTTCTTCTCTGGTCTGTATTATCTATAATAGGTATAATTCTGATCTCTAATAGTTTAGAGCAATTAAATAGGCTAGAGAATGTGGATCAACTTGTTTGGCAGAATCTCCTTCCTGATTCCAGCTACTCAAGTTACTGTTCCTGGTTAGTGCAGTTGGACATGGTTGACCTGGGTACCCCTTTTGAGAGAAATGAGCAGCCTTTCCAGGCAATATATATTAGACAAGTCAGGTGTATCTCTTGCGCATGACATGCAATCCAGCCTTTGTATCTTTGGTGTAAATGTAATTTTCAATACTGCTCTCTGAATGATAAATTCATTAATTCTTTATATGATAAATTTTATCCTTCCTACTTGATATGCTTTACCCTTTTGATCTTCTTGCCTGAAATGGGCATGGCTCTGTTTGCTAGGAACAATGAAATGCAAAGGGAGCATCATAATTTCGGTTGATTAGCAAGTTGAGTGGCAAAAAATGTTCAAAGATGATTACTATGTTGACTTGATTAACCATTATTTTGGTTTAATTCATCTAAAATTAGAAATATGTTCCTAAAGATATCCTACATTTTAGTTTTCTCAAATGCAAATTTTGCTTCTATGTCCATTTCAACACTTGGGGAAGGTAGAAAAATAAGATTTAATGGAGTGAGATATAGATTGGCGTATGTTATCCAAGCGCATTTCAAGTAATTGTAGTAAAACCCTACCGGTTGACCCTTTAGCTTTTCCGGCTATACGAACGTATTTAAGCAATTGTCGTTCTGTAAGACCATAATGAAAACGTAATTTTTGTTTTTCTTCTAAACGAATACGATATTGAGATTTTTTACCGGAGCGCGATTGGTTTCTAAGTTCGCTTCCCACTGTAGGTCTTTTACTAGTTAGTCCTGGTAGAGCCCCCAGACGACGTATTTTTTTGAAACGAGGTCCTCTGTAACGTGACATAAAGACTCCTTTAAAAACGAAAATATTATAAATTAAAACTAAACTAAATGACAAATAAAAAAGAATTAGATGAATTAGATCAATATACGAACCTTATTCTATTGTATATAGAAAATAAAAAAAGTAGGTTCTGTAGGATCGCTCAAATACAAAATCAACAAATAAAACAACTATTCAAGAATGTCGTGAGGACTTGTGGAGAAAGAGAACAAACTTCTGTGAAATATTTTACTAAACTTTGTTGCTTCTCAATTCTATATTTCTCAAACAATATACTTGACTATTTATAGGCTATAGTTTGCCTTTCTAAAACTGCAACACTAAATAGCCATAAACCACAATTAAAACCAAACTTAATAACAAAACATAACGACTGACTCCTAACCTTTCAAAACTCCTAAACTTAATGCTAACCCTCATGACTCATAAACTCCATAACCGACAAATTCAATCACATTAAAATAACATTTAACGTTTACTTAACAAAACTCCCCTGTAAACTTAAATACTTCTTTCTTTCTTCGTGTTGCTTCTGTTTTTCTTCAACTTTCTGATCGCGCCTGTTTTCTTCAATCTTGATCACTAAGAAGAAACATCTAACACCTTCCAACTTATTTAACTAAAAAAAAATATCTCCCCAGCAATTATTTTTCTGAACATATTTTATTTTATCTGGTGGCTTCTTTAATTTGATATTTTCAGTTTCCTTAGCAGGACTTTCCTTGTTTCCATTCGCTGCATCTTCTTCACCTGCAAGTTTCTCGTCACCCAAATTCTTCTCAGTTTCATTCGTCACTTCATCAGTTGCTTTCACAATTTTATTTCCTCGTCCAATCCCAATTTCTGCATCATTGGTATTGTCAACAAAACCTCTTTTTCTCTTCAAGACCACATCCTTTTCTTCAAATGCACCTTCCATTTTTTCGCCAGTTGCTTTCACAATTTTATTTCCTCGTCCAATCCCAATTTCTGCATCATTGGTATTGTCAACAAAACCTCTTTTTCTCTTCAAGACCACATCCTTTTCTTCAAATGCACCTTCCATTTTTTCGCCGTTCTCGGCTCCTCCATTGCCGTCTTCCTCGCACCTCCTCAATGGCATCTCGGACCAGCGACCTATGCCGGTCGCCGAAGTCAACCTCATCACGCCGGGGTCGAGCTCTTCTCCAAAAGATGAACTCGGTGATTTAGCCAGGATCTCCCCCATCCCAGTTATCAACAAGGAACTCGGATTCGCAGTCTCTTCCATGTTGGTCTCCATCAAGCACCTCGGCTTCTCAATCTCCTTTTCGATTTTCGACTCTGTCTCCAGACACTCAGGTTCCACGAAGTCTTCTACCTCGACAATGGACTCGTCGTTCTCGTCCTTCTCTGCTTCGATCTCGGCTCCTTCGTTCTCCTCCTCTTCTATCTCGGCTCCTTCGGTCGCAGTCATCTCCATCGTCTTCTTCTCCGAGTCGTCTCTTACGCGTTCTGACACGTCAATCTCCTCTGCGGATGCGTTTCCGTTGGCAACCTCGGATTCCGCCATCTCGGTCTCTTCTTCATCCGCATCATTCTCCTCATCTTCATCATCATCATTGAAGATTTCATCTTCTTCATTAATCAGATCAAAACGTCCAGGCAAGTATTTTGTTACGAAGGCCATTAGAAAATCCTTCCACATATTATTAAAGTCGCGGCAGTTCCATGTACGGAACCATTTGATTGCTCTTCCTCTGAGTCTTCTCATGGCCACCTGCCATTTGTCCTCCGTCCAGGTTTTTTCTTTCCGAAAATGTTCCTTCAAACAAAGAAGCCAATATAATGCTTCATCCTTATCTCCATAGAAGAGTGGCACCTCTAACTCGCTCTTTTTCCCCATAGCTCTGATACCAATTTGTTAGGAGAAGAGTAAAACAAAGGAGTTTTTACTAAGGCAGAAGTCCTTCATCTTCATTCCCTCCAACTCGGCACGAAGGGTTTGAAGCCGGACTTGTTTAGCCCGGTTAGCTCCTCTATAGACATTTGCCAAGATGTCCCAGGCTGCCTTTGAGGTCTCACAATTTGCTATCTTCTCGAACCCGGATTCGTCTACAGCTCGGAAGAGCATGAATAACGCCAGCTTGTCTTTTGCACGCATCTCTTTCAACGCTTTAGTTTGAGCCGCTGAATAGCCTCCAGTATCCTGTGGTTCTACAAAACCTGCTTGAACATTCTCCCAAGCGTCCTGGGATCCGAGAAGAGCCTTCATCTGGATGCTCCAATTCTCGTAGTTCTCCTTCGTCAACTTTGGTAGTGCCATATCACTCCCCCTTTCCATAGCTCTGATACCAATTTGTAGGATCGCTCAAATACAAAATCAACAAATAAAACAACTATTCAAGAATGTCGTGAGGACTTGTGGAGAAAGAGAACAAACTTCTGTGAAATATTTTACTAAACTTCGTTGCTTCTCAATTCTATATTTCTCAAACAATATACTAGACTATTTATAGGCTATAGTTTGCCTTTCTAAAACTGCAACACTAAATAGCCATAAACCACAATTAAAACCAAACTTAATAACAAAACATAACGACTGACTCTTAACCTTTCAAAACTCCTAAACTTAATGCTAACCCTCATGACTCATAAACTCCATAACCGACAAATTCAATCACATTAAAGTAACATTTAACGTTTACTTAACAGGTTCTTTTATTGGTTTGTTCTACAGAGATCGAAAAAGATCGAATTCCCCCAATTTCTTAAATAAAGAAAAGGCACATTATCAATTAGGTAAAAAAAAAAACAAATAGGGAAAAGCCGGCTATCGGAATCGAACCGATGACCATCGTATTACAAATGCGATGCTCTAACCTCTGACGGTATGTCTTAGGACGGAATGGAGAAAAGCTATTAAAATGGTGGAGGTTTGACCCATTGTTATCCATATGTTCGAGATGGTCCTTTTTTAATCCTTTCTCGCTTCATCTCCCCCCTCTTCTTATTTTTTCCTTCTTTTCCTTTGTCTCTTTTCCCCTTCCCCATCTTCTTCTTTCTCTTTTTTTTTTATATATTATTATTATTATTTGTTTATTTCTTTTTATTTTACCCCTTCGTACCTTTCATTTGGGTTAAACTATCACGGATCCCAATTAATTTGGAATAATGTTGTTGTTGATGTGGAAGTTGTCTGGTTCAACACTTCAACTTGTTAGGCAAAATATCCCAGGTAAACTAGCTATGAGTGCGGCTTGATATTAGCGTTTCACTAGGTCATAAATACGAGCGAGCTAAACTTACTTTTTTAAATGATAATAATTCATTGTGCATAGAATCTGATATAATTCATCTATGTTTAGACCAGGAGCTCAAATTTCAAACCTAAAATTTATATGTCATTTATATGGTACTCCAATTTGGAGATGCCGAATAAATATGTTGCACAACCCCAGTCTTCTAGTTCTAGTGTTAATAATGAGAATCATCATCTGCGTAATTCTGTTGAATCCTCTATACTGGCCCGAGTTACATGTGCCTTTACACTTTGTTAGGATCTTGTAAAGGGAGAGGGAAAACAGAAAAAGGCAAAGCAGAAAAAGTAAAGCTGATTCCTGGCTCACGTTGATTGAGAGAAAAGGATATGCCTTACTTGAACATTATTGTTCCTGTTAGCTCCAGCTTCTTCTGGGAACCAAGTATATTTGGAATTGAATTTCAATTACGTATGTTTTTTCAACACTAGCCCCAGTACATCCGCTTGAAATTTCTTTTTTTGGTGAAAGGAGGGGCCAAATGCTCCAGAACTAGGCGGCAAGCAAAGCCAGATACTAATGGGAAATGATAAAAGCCTGTAATTGCGAGCAATTTTGAGTCTTTAAAGTTAATTGCTGCTTCCTTTTTGTGACCTTCATTCGTAATATTGCTTGCTGCTGCTTTTTTTGTTTTTCACTCTCTTCTAATGATCCAAATTTGCCACTTCTCTCTTCAACTCTAAGCGCACACAGAAAAATAAAAAAACTTGAATTACAAGCAGACATGCTTGTTCTATTTACCATATCAACCCTGCCTTCCTCATTCATTTGCAATTCACAATGATTGTTTTACACCCAATCCAGGTTCGTTTCTTGGAAAAAGAAGGCCATAATAACAAAAACAATTTTATATCTCAAGGTCAAGGCCCACCCTAACTACATACTGCAAAACTACAAGCAAGAACAGTGCACAGTTCTGGAACACTAGAATTAGGAAAACATTGATCACAGCAACGTTCTCTTCTGATCCTTTTTTATGTAAAGAAAAGTCTACACTCCAGGAAAACAAAAACTTGGAAATTGACCAGAAAGAAGGAAAGAACAAATTACATTAAAATTTGAAAATTTACAGTGCTGTGGGGGGAAAAAGAATACATATTTTGTCTACATGATAGAGCAGGCATTTGGGTTTTCATCACTGAACATGTTCATGTAAGGGTCTTCATATCTTGTCACGGTTCCAACGGTAGGAGTAATATCCACTTTCCTCACATAACCAGGAGGAGCCTTCTTGTCATAAGCGGGAGCAGCATATGGTTGAGCCACCAAGTTGTAGGGTACATAAGGCCAAATCTCAGCCTTCTTCCCTGTTGACTTGGCCTTCTTGAGCACCTTGTTTGGTTCAACATACCCAGTTACTGTCACCTTCTGCTGTTTACGGTTAATTTCCACCGATTTCACTCCTACAATCACCATTTCATTTCATCAGCTTCATGTTGAATGCTACTGACAAATAGATACTAGATGATAACAAAGAATGTAACTCACCACTTAGTGAAGAGAGGGTTTTCTTGACCTTAAGCTCACAGCCATCACAGTCCATCCTCACCTTTAGCTCTACGGTCTGTAACTGCTTTCTCTTCTTCTTGTGGTAGTGGCCACTGCCCATTAGATCAGACAAGTACTCCAGAGTGCCTCCAACTCCCATTTCTGTATTTTCAGAAGTAAAATGGTTTATAAACAAAAAGTGAAAAAGACTTGCCCGTGGATATATATGATATGAATACAGGATCACAATTGATAGCTTAACTTCTTGAGTATGTCACAAAAAAAAAAGGGGGGTGTTTGATGAGAGTTGAGCAAGGGATAATATATATAGCATATATAGGTTGATCATGATTGGAATGTATAAAGATGGTTTTATATTGAAAACGTGGGAACCCAGCTCTCTAGCAAAAAAGAAGTTGCAAGGAACTTTCTTTCTGTAAAATGGATTCCTTCCTTACCTTGAAATAATCAATAAATAATGCTGCTCTGTTGTTCTATGAAGAACTTCTTTACTTGGTTTGAGATGTTTTGCACAGGCCTACTTACAGAGAGGCGTTTAATCAGATTCAAACAGAGGAAAAGTTGCGGCCCCTACCTACACCAGTAAACAAAAGCCTTTTTGGTACCCCCTGATGTTTCCTTTGAGATGGTATACCTTATTTATAAAATGGGTTCTTTGTAACATAAAAAGGGCTTTTGGGGTTTGAACTCAAAATATGTAGAGAGACAGACAATTATTACACAGTTGAATGATTAGGTACATATAAATTTAAATATATTACATGTCTATGTCAACCTTGGTTTGCATGCAAAAGTTTGAGATTCGTTAAATTTTAAACAATTTGAACAAAAAATATGATCATCAGAATGCTACATATATAAATGTGTGCGTTTGTTTTAATATTTTATCTTTGATACAATAAATTAATGTAGTAAAATATTCACAAAGAAAGCTCCAAATCAAAGATAATAAAACTTTCGGTTCACCAGTGCTTGGATTCAAATTGGAGAGCAATGGTCAACCAATGAAAGTGAAAGAAATTCCAAGTCCCATGTATGAATGAACGCAGAATGTGTATGAGGTCAAATCAGGTCACGCTGATTGAAATGCTTCCGTTGTGCAAAGAGCGTACAAATCTGTAAAAGTAAAACTGGGGCCTTCCATTGCCGCGCCCTTGCAAACTATCATACTACATAGCTTTTTTATTTTCTTTCCACTACAAAATCACTCCAAATAAGCTAATGAAGTGTGTGATTGAGGAAGTGTTTGAAAACTTGATTTTGGATTGTCTTGATTTTATAAAATTAATTTTGATAAAAAAATGATTGATATGTTTTTGGTTATGATTTTAGTTCCCAAACAGAGGTTGATAATTAAGCAGTGAGTTGAATAAACCACGTGTATCCTTCGTGAGATACAATTATGTTCGAGTCAGGAATATTCACATCATGATAGAAGTAACTTTCACAGAGATAATGTTTTGTATTCACAAAAACTTAAATTCAAGACTTTACTGGAATCAAATATGTACGATTTGAACCAATTTTCTTTGGTAGGGTGAAAGTGACTTTAGGTTATAGGTGTGCATCCTAAATATTGCCACACCAAAACACCGTAGGACATGGCCTTAGCCCTTAGGGTTAGGGAGAAAGTATAAACCTGAGATGCACTTGTTTCTTAATGTGTGACCATACGCAGTCGTTACAAATACTTTATTTTACAAATTTGTTTATGTAACACATTCAGTTAAATGACAAAAGCCACGAACGTGTTTCGTTGGGAACATTCACACATTACAGCTGTTATAGAGTTGGTGCGTATAATGATGAATTCCAAAATGAGTATTTATTTTATTTCAATCGAATAATCTAAGAGAAGACTATGATGGTGGTTTTGGAAGCTTCTTTGATCCCCTACCCATAGCAAAAAATTGTTTTTGATCAAGTCTGAATAATAAAAATTATAACATTTGTAACTTAAATGAGTTTTGTAATTTTTATTAGTTAGTTTATAATTTTTAATACTGAATTGACAACATTTGTAATTTTGGCACTCTATGTTAATTACAATTAATTTATTTAGTTTTATTAAAAATTGGAAGAGTGTAAAAAATTAGAGTGGAATACTCTTAATCATATAATTAAAGTGAACGGATCTAATGAAGTAAGAGGGCAAAATGCATTCTACCCTAAATTTAAGGTTTTATTTATCAATTGTTATATTGTAAATAATGCGTTAAACTGAACTCTAAAACAAACTTAAATGAACCAAGGGGGAAATTAGCATGTACGCCATTACCTACTTAACTTTTGTTTTTTGTTTTGGCTTACTGTTACCTACTTAACTAGTTTTATACTTCTATTTAATATATAGAACTTTACTATTGCCCTTTTATTTATTCATCCATGATGCTGGACACATAGCAATGTCCAATGCCTGTCTCTAAAACCATCCAGTTGATAGTATACATGGATAACAAATGGATATATAGGACATAATAAATGTGTGCACGTCCTTTTCTCTGTTTGGTTTTGTCCTCTTACAGCTATTATGGCCTCCATAGATTTGAATGCATGTGATAACAAAGCCCCACTCTTTTCACCAACCCCATGACCATGAGTATGCCTTTCCACTCAATTAGCACGCCCATGCATATTACTATAGTGCTAGACTCTTGCATGGCCGTTTGGTGCCACTAGTCTATTATATGATCGATCATCATCGGTCCATCTACCTAAAACAACCAATTCTTCAAAAGTGCAGATGCACTATTGAAATTGTTGTCTCCACCTAAAAGATTATCAATATAGATAGTGGATGCATATAGACAAAGCCATCAATATAATCTCTTTAGAGTTTAAAGTTAATACTACTGCAATGCATGTTAGTAGGTAATGGGAAGCCCTAATTTATCGGGCTCGATATCATATCTTAATCTAAAATTTTAAGTGTTAAATTTATGGGTACTTATATTTATATGGTTTTTGTAACATTCCAAGCGCTGACGAGGACGAGGAGTGATCGCCGGTGCAAAGAGGCACGGATAAGAAGCGGCTCCTGATAGGCTTCCAGCGGGGGGTTACATGCATGAATGAATCGAATCGACACCCGAAAGAGAGGGATTCCAAAGACTGTGCAGGTGTGAGACTGCATAGTTTGGGATAACTTATAAAAATTAATTGGTACTACTTATACTAACAAGATGCATCTACTTTTCGGTAGCCCGGAACGGAAGAACTCCATAGTTAAGCGTGTTTGACTTGGGGCAATTCTGGGATGGGTGACCTCTTGGGAAGTTTTCTCAAGAAGTGTGCGAGTGAGAAAAAAGCACACTGAAAAGTCTCGTGTTAGTATGTGGGGATAGTCATTGATTCTTGAAGCGACCAGGCGTTACAGTTTTTATTGAGTTTATTTTAACTAATATAAAACTTCACTACTCACACTTAAATTCCCAACAATGCAATCTAATTAAAGGAATTGTTAATTCTAGTTTTGTTTTAAAAAAATTGGGACATAATTGATAAATAGATGAGTAGATGTCAACCTTGTTTCTCTTTTTTCAAATACTTATGTCTGACTAGTCGAACTTCAATCAAGAGTGTATGACTAGTCAGACTTATTGTAGTTTGTAAGAAAAAATATTTGTCAATATAATCTTCCCCTATATGGGGAATGATTCGTTTACATTTTTCTTTACAAATTTTTTCAAATTACACTATGTACTCTCGGATGTGCATAGTGTAACCGAGTGTACTTTTGGGAGTACATAGTGTAGTTTGTAAGAGTTTATAAATAAAAATTTTGTAACATGTTCTTTTTTTTAGTACACAGGGCAGGTTCTGTTTACATCAGAGTAAGACTAACAAGTCTTACACCATATCTTAACCGTTGATGGATGAAAATCATCGGTTGGTATTTGTAGTGTAATTAATAATTAATTAATATTAATTAATTCGTACAACTTCTTAAATTATAACCGTTGGATACACGTGAATCAACAGTTAAGATGTGGTGTAAGAGTTATTAATCTTACATCGGTGTAAAATGACTCTGATCCTCTATATATATATATATATATATATATATATATATATATATAGAGAGAGAGAGAGAAAATATTCTTACACCGGTGTAAGAGTTAGAAGTCTTACACTCAATCTTGACCATTGATCCACTTGTATCCAATGGCTCACGTTACTAAAAAATTTGAGCGTTAGATATAAATGGAGTCAACGGATAAGATTGAGAGTGTAACTTACACTGGTGCAAAATTTAAATTTGACACCTCATCTGAGAGTCGTTAGATAAAAAAAGATCAATGGTGTCACATGCTTACAAATCAAAGTCGTTGATCTCTTTTTATCTAACGGCTCTCAGATGAGATGTCAAAGGATCATATATCATATATATATATAGGGATATGATCCTTTGACACCGCTGTCAAACTTTAAAATTTGACACCAAATCTTAACTATTGATTTTCGCCAATCAACAGTTATCATTTATTGGGAATCAAACTTATTAATTAATTATTAACTTCCAATAAATGATAACCGTTGATTGGCAGAAATTAACGGTTAGGATTTGATGTCAAATTTCAAAGTTTGACACTGGTGTCAAATGATCCTACCACACACACACACACACACACACACACACACATATATATATATATATATATATATATGCGGTAGATCCTTTGACACCTCATCTAATAGTCGTTAGATCAAAAAAGATCAACGACTCTCATTTGTAAGCATGTGACACCATTGATCTTTTTTGATCTAACGACTATTAGATGAGATGTCAAATTTCAAATTTGACACTAGTTTCAAAGGATCCTACCCCTCACCCCTCTCTCTCTCTCTCTCTCTCTCTATATATATATATATATATATATATATAAAACTGCCAACAATTATGTGTGTTGCAAGTTGTAACTACAACTAACAACATGAAGCCTTCCGGATAAGAGTGAATGATCTATGGAAAACGATAGTTACCTGCTCAGTAAAAAGATATTGCATGGTTGTATAAATAATAAATGATTTCTGATCTTATTCATGAAGAAGTTAAAGGCTATAATTTTCATATGCTTGGTAATGGTCTTCCGTATGACAAACAAAAAAATAAATAACAATTTATCATTTATTATTTTGATAGTCATAATCAAAGTCACTATATTTTCTAATATATGAAGAATGAAGAGAGTATTACCATTACCCCTTTTCTGTTTCTCTTTTATTACGAACCCTGGTTCCCTTCTTTCTTTCTTTCTTTCTTTCTTTTTCTGCCTTTTTCTTTTTAGGGATAGAGAGTGGGGCACAGGGGCGATCATGGTTTCGGTGCACCATGATAAAGAAGCTGCTAGATTGATATACCTCTGTTTTCAACAACAACAACAAAAAAATTCCCATCTTGTTTGAATTAGCCTTGGAACTTTGATTCGTCTTATACTTTCTCAAAAAGCTAACATAACAGCAGCTTTCATCTCTGATATATTTATTGAGGGACCCAAATGAAGCAATTTAAATCATTTAACCAACCTGAATGAGCCTTTTCAATTAGAACAATACTACACAGAAAGCT